GGTGGAGAAAACAGTGCAACAATGAATGAATGAAAACCCAAAATCTCTGTAAATGTTCATTAAAACTAATAAAATTTAATTTTAAAAAAAAAGATCTCAATTTAAAAAGTAAAACAAGGAAACAAAAAAATTGAATCAGTATTAAATGCAAATCAAAACAACAGTAAATACCATCTCACCTCAGCCAGAATAGCAAAGTTCAGTAAAACCATAAACAACCAATATACTGGCAATGGGACATGGAGAAATTGGCAACTTTCATATTGGTAAGGGTGTAACGATGCCACCATGGGGAGCAGTTTGGATTTCCTTAAAATGTTGGAATTAGAAATAGTATTTGATTCAGCAATCTCACTTCTAAGTTTTAGAAAATTAAGAACTGGGACACAAAAGAGATAGATGCATACCCACGTAAATGAAACATTATTGAGTCCATTAACGGCTAAAGAAACTGGTGCACTCACACAGTGGAGTATCATACTCAACACTAAAGGACAAGAGAATGAAACCCAGCATAACATGGATGACTCTAAAGAACATGTTAAGTGAAATAAGTCAGTCACAAAAGGACAAATATTCTATAAGATCACTACTATAAAATAAGTCTACTGCTATAAAAGAGCAAGACAAGATATAATTAAAGGGTGATCAGCCACAATATCACTAAAAGGAAATATCAAAAAGAGTAATAGAAATCAGATTGACAGGGAAGAAGTGGAAAATGCAATTACATTGTAAGTATTATAGTTAGTGTTACACATAAAATACATGAATTTTGGATTAAAAGTTGGCTTTGTAAACTTATTTAAATCACACACACAGAGTAAAAGAATAAATGAAACCCAGAGAAATTGTACCAGTGCCCTTGTTAAAAGAATAAATGGAACCCAAGAAGCTGTACAAGTGGCCTTGCTATAGTTCAAAGATAGATCTAAAATCATATCACTTCATTCTTTGAAAGTATATGTAGTGCAGGGAATTTGAGATTTTAGTATTCTGAATGCCATTCTGTATGCTGAGCAAATCATTTGAGAAGCTGGACTATATGAAGAAGAATGTGGCATGGCATCAGAATTGTATGAAGACTCATCAACAACCTGAGTTATGCAGATGACACAACCTTGCTTGCAGAAAAGGAAGACTTCAAGCACTTGATGCAGAAGATCAAAGACTCCAGCTCTCAATATGGACTATATAGCAACATCAAGAAAATGCAAATCCTTTTTTTTTT